GGGGGGGCAAAGTGGGTTAACTGAACGGGTTTTACACAAATTGTTGTTGTGGAATTACAAACCGGTTCAGCTTAAAAAAATAATTTAAAGGCTGATGACATTGTAGATACCTGCACTCCATAAGTGTTTTAGTTTGAGTAACAGTATTACCGGGTTAAAAAAAAAAATTTCGGCACTTGCAACACAATAAGGTCATAATATGAGTGCCGAAGATTAGGTGTGTTAAAAAAGAGTAACAAACGCACACAACAAAAGGAGAGATAAGGACGACAGGGCTCGACTTGACAGGAAAGATTGAGCAAACCTCACCAGAGCACCCACCAACCACTCAATTACTCCCTAGTTTAAATATCCAGCTGAGTTGTCTTGCTTTCGCGGGTGTGAAAAGCTTTATATGGATCGCCCTCTGGAATATTCCGTTGACCTGTTTGGTTAGCTTAAAAAGAACGAACGTGATGCTGCACCATGAACAGTTAGTCGTCCATCTGTCTTCACTCCCCTCTCTAATAGTGCACATTGACATAATGTTGTCATCGACAGTGTAGACTGTGAAGTGTTTGTTTTAGCATTATGGCAATTCGAAGACTGGGACCTTAACATTTCCCTTCAAGTACATGAGTACAATTTGTGTTGCGGAAAAGGGGCACCCATAGTTGGGATGAGCACATTTTTAAGCATCTGAGAGAGCGCATATTGCCGTGAACACCGTGGTAATATTGTTTTAGTATATTTTGTTGTAAAGTTTTGGATTCTTTTGTCGTGCGTGATATTTCTTTGTTCGGTTAGTAGTCTAGAGCGCCTCATACGTTCGTATGATACGCACTGTAATTTTTTTTTTGGTCAGCGTATCTTCTCGTCGTATCCTCTTTCCATTTTAGCGCTGCTCTTTTTTCACCTTGATTTCGGGTTTGTGTTGTGGGTTGTTGTTGTTTTTTTTCCCTTTTGGCATGTGGTTGCCTCACTGTGGATGAAGACGACTGCGGAATTCCCATTAGGTATAATGTTACGTCCTCTACTCTTGGGGGATTATCCTGCTTTGTGCCACGGATTTGGGCTGTACGTTCCGCCCTACTGAAGACGCTATCCCGTCATCCCAAGGTTGTCTGTGAACTCTGTACTCTGTTTCGGGCGTCCCCCAACCCTCTAACCAATCCCCGACGAAAGACGAAATAAAGTAAAGGGTTAGTAAAGAGTAATTTATGTTCATGTACTATCACAGTTGGTGCGATGTGTGAGCAATTTCAGCTTGTACTGATTGAAATGGTGTGTTAAATTTGTGTAGCTTCGACAAAAAGAGCCCCAGAAAGTATTTGGGTCTTTGGTGATGCGTTGCGTTTTTTGTCTTTTTCCTGGCATTTTGTTGCTGCCACCAGGCGTGAAAAGTACACGTTGCGTATCACATTATTATACGCGCCACTGTATCACCTGATCTTGTCGTTGTGTGCGTGGCGTGAAACGGGGTAGTTTGCTTTGTGATGCAGTCCAAACGGTGACTTTTTTTTTTTTTAAAGAAAGATGTAGGCCGACGTGCCGATTTTCTTTGTCCGTTGTTCGCTTTTTAACGCTTTTAACGGCAAACGTTCGGAGTCTAGTGTATGCTTTGTATTCCTACGGCTTTGGAAGTGAAGACAAATAATTTTGTGCCTACCGTTACAACAACTGATACGCAGAGGATTCTTCATTATTACTTCTTTTTTTCTGACAGGCGAGTCGGAGTTTGGCACTTTAGTATTCTGTGCTCCTCCCTCTTCTTTACAGAGTTCATATTGTCTTACTACTCTGCTTCGTGGTGAAATATATGCCTTATCGTGCTGACTGGACAACTTAATACCTATCGGACGTACCGAGTTTATACCTCGCGTTTGAGTTGGGCCGTCTGATCGTCTTGACCGGGAAATTGGAGGCGGTGTCTGGTTCAGCTGGGCGTTACTTCTGCGATTGTCTTCAAAGATGACCGTGATTGGAGATTTGCGGGGTTTTCTGGTGACAATAGCAGTGGTGATAGGGCGCTGTGGTGGCAGGTGTTTGGCGACGGTGCTGTCAGTGTGTGGCTGTTCTTGTTATTTTAAGGCTGCGTGTGTCGTTGGGCTTTTTGTGATTTTTAAATATATGCATTTTCCAATAATATGACAAAGATGCAATTGAGGATCATGGTTCTTGTCATGCAGGACGATATGAGGATTGTGTGCGCTTCCAGCATTACAACACACTTTTTACCTTCACAAGTCTTACTACAGCTAATTGCTCATCATCAGCGATCTACGGGCGGGAGTGTTATGCAAACATCTCGTCGTAAGGCATTTCTGGGGAGGCCATATGGACTGGGAACAAAGAAAATGATGAATCAGCAGACATACGCCGATTATCATAAAGATTTACTGACTCCTCATCGTCTAGTTTATAGAGTCCTTTTATTTACGAATAGATACAACACAAGGATGATCAGCGTATCTCTGTAACATACATGAAATGACGACACATTAGACACCATGACACAGGATGTAACATGGTGATGACCTATTACCCTAGGATGCTGTGACCTTATCGGCCTGGGCTAGCCCTGGCTGGCAGGGGCGAAGCAGTCGGCACCCCAAATGATCGAACTTGTGTCGATGGGATCTAAAGAACTGTCAATCAATCACTCTCATGTCTGGCGCCTGGCTTTCCCTATAAGAACTCGATAATTCAATTATCGTTATTGGTGCAGTCTTGTAGTTTGCTTTTTCTTTCCTGTGCTCACAAACCTCCAAACATAGAAATATGTATAACACATA